CATCGCTCATGTCGCGCCGCCCGTTTCCTCCAGATCGAAGAACCACATTAGCGCCCCTTTGATCTTTTTTTAGTACCGTCTTCTGAGTGTGTTTGGGATCCACACTTTCTAATTTGTTTGTCAATTCTTGTGACAAGATTCCTTCCATTGGAATATAAGTCAGCACTTGGAAATAGTTGTGGTCCTTGGCTTTGATTCTTAAGATTAAGGAATTAAGACTAAGAATAAAGAATTGAATCTTCCGCTGTTTTACTTTCTGTCTAAAAGAGATTATCAATTTTCCTCTTGTTTCCTATACACTGTTTCTGCGTTTTTTATCTATAAAAAAAAACATTGGAGAATATTCATACACAGATAATACAGACACGCAATCTCAACACACAATACTTAAAAACACATACATAAATCACTAGCAAACACAGACAACACACAAACAAACAAACAGTGTTGATGGCGCGGCCGTCCCACCTCTCGGAAGCCAAGGTTTGTGCAAGACAAATCTGGTCGTTTCGTTTGACCCTTCGTTTGCCTTCTTTGGATAAATTGCCCAACCACTTAACATCCATGGGTAGACTGGAAGGTAAGATAAGCTTATATTATGCCAGGCAAGGGTGGGTAAAGATTAAGGAAGGGATGCAGAGGTAAGGTTAAGGAAGGGATGGAGAGGTAAGGTTAAGGAAGGGATGGAGAAGTAAGGTTAAGGAAGGCAAGGAGAGGTAAGGTAAGCAAGGCAAGGAAAGGTAAGGTAAGAAGCAAGGAAAGGTAAGATCAGTATTGCAAGAAAATGTAAGAAAGTAAGAAAAGAAGTAAGAAAAGCAAGGACGAAACAACGAACGAGGTTTAGACAAAAAATCGCTAACGCGTGTGAGTGCTGCAGGAATAAAGCAGGGAAGGGCAGCGGAAGGAAGCCACGGAGAGAGAGAGAGGAAGACACGGAGAGAGAGAGAGAAGCCCACGGAGAGAGAGAGAGAGGAAGACACGGAGAAGAGAGAGGAAGCCACGGAGAGAGAGAGAGGAAGCCAACGGAAGAGAGAGAGGAAGCCACGGAGAGAGAGAGAGGAAGACACGGAGAGAGAGAGAGAGAGAGAGAGAGGAAGAACCACCTAAGTTCCTGGTCCCTGTAACCCTGAGATGGCACGAGCAGCACAGGCACCGAGAAACGATTATGAAATCTTGCAGCTCTCTCGTTTGGCATTCACTGCACGCACGCCTTTGCTAATCCATCCTAAGGCAGTTTGCATTTCTCGGAACAGAAAGTCGAAACAGGAAACGAAGCAGATGAACCCTCGCTTAAATTTACCACACGAGCGCCTAAACAAACCAAAAAAGGATATCAAAAAAAAAATCTTGTGTAACATTGCCTTTGGGTAAATCGTAATTAGCATTACAAAAACAAACCAAAAAACAATAACTAAATGCAGGACACATTGCCTCAATCCACACCACTGGTACTAACAACTCCAATTTCTAAGAAATATCCTTTGCACAATGAGAACGGAAATCCCTCACACAGGCGAGGTCTTCAACATATTCTTTCAGGAATTAGCCCAAAGTTGCGAGTTAGTAGGAAAGTTCTGGTGATAACGAGTTCCAAACGTGTTACCTTGTTTGACGGGGTGTTCGAGGAACTCATCGAGAAAGAAGAATGAGAGGGAGAGAAAAAAAAAAGAAAAGAAAAATACAGTAGACCTTTCATCATTTCCGATTTATGATTTCGCCATGAAAAAGGAGAGGGAGGGGGGTGNTTCTCACCACCACCTCCTCCTCCTTCTTCCCCCACCTCCTCTTCCCTCTCCCACCTGCCTCCTCTTCTCACCACCACCTCCTGCACCATCTCCCACCTCCTCCTCCCTCTCCACCTCCTTCCTCTTCTCACCCCCACTTCCTCCTCCATCTCCCACCCCCCTCCTCTTCTCACCCCCACCTCCCTCCTCTCCTCACCCCCACCTCCTCCTCCCTCTCCCACCTCTCCTCTTCTCATCCCCACCTCTGCTCCCTTCTCTTCTCACCCCCACCTCCTCACCCCACCTCCCTTCTCTTCTCACCCCACCTCCTCCTCTCCTCACCCCCACCTCCCTCCTCTCCTCACCCCACCTCCTCCTCTTCTCACCCCCACCTCCTCCTCCCTTCCTTCTCACCCCCACCTCCTCACCCACCTCCCTTCTCTTCTCACCCCCACCTCCCTCCTCTCCTCACCTCCACCTCCTCCTCTCCTCACCCCACCTCCCTCCTCTTCTCACCCCCACCTCCTCCTCCCTCTCTCTCACCCCCACCTCCTCACCCCACCTCCTCTCTTCTCACCCCCACCTCCTCACCCCCCTCCCTTCTCTTCTCACCCCCACCTCCCTCCTCTCCTCACCCACCTCCCTCCTCCTCCTCACCCACCTCCCTCCTCTTCTCACCCCCACTCCTCATCCCTTCTCTTCTCACCCCCACCTCTCTCACCCCACCCTCCTCCTCTTCTGATCCCCACCTCCTCACCCCACCTCCCCCACCTCCCCTCTCCCCCCCAACCTACGCTCACCCCGCCTCCTCCCCGCTCGCAGGACTGTCCCGGAGAACGAGTGTTACATTCAGTTCATCGAGACCAACGAGTACGTCACCTTCGGCACCGCCATTGCAGCCTTCTACCTTCCCGTGACGGTGATGTGCGGCCTCTACTGGCGCATCTGGAGGGAGACCGAGAAGCGCCAGAAGGACCTGACCAATCTGCAGGCGGTGAAGAAGGACCCGAGTAAGAGGTCCAACTCGAGGTGGGTGACCCGAGGGAGGGGATAGGGGCGGGTGGGCGGCGGTTTGGTCGAGAGTCTCTGAGTGGAGAGAGGAGAAGAAAAAAAATTGTGTTTGGTTTGAGTTTTGTGTTTTTTTTTCTGGTTTTTCTTCTTTTTTTCTTGTTTTGTTTAACGTGATTATGAGGTTTGGAGTGTGTTTTTTCTCTTATCTCTCGTCTTCTTTATTTATTCCTTTATTTCTAGACTATCGATAAGTGATTTTTTGTTTAATTAACGTGTTTTTTTGTGTGAGAAATTCCCCTTTAGATTACAGAGGATATCAAAATGGTTAAGAAATGCTTTTAATCCATTCATAGAAAGATTGGGATTAGG